TCAATGCTTTAATAAAACAAGTCATTGTATAAAATAAAATATATAAAACAGAAAAATATCAGTGTATTTTTATATACTAGCAATTCTTAATAAGAATTATAAATTGAAATTTGAAAAACAGTACCACTTAAAATAGCATCAAAAATATGAAATAGAGATAAATCTAAAGATGAGAAATACCTGTCCACTGAAAACTACAAAATATTGTTGACAGAAATTAAAGAATATCTAAATAAATAAGAGATACTCTGTTCATACGTTGGAAGACTCAGTTTTTCTAACATGTTAATTTCCCCCAAATTGAGCTATAAATTAATTGCAATTCTATTCAAAATCCCAGCAAGGTGCTTTATAGAATGGACAAGCTGACTTTAAAATTCATATGAAAATGCAAAGGATGTTCAATAGCCAAAACAACTCCGAAAATGAAGAACAAAATTAGAGGGCTGGTACTACCAGATTATAAAGCTACAGTAATCAAAACAGCATAGTATTTGCATAAAGGTAAGAAAATAGACCAACAGAACAGAACAGAGTCCAGAAACAAACAAACATATATATGGACAGCTGATTTTTGACAAAGGTGCCAAGGCAATGCAGTAAGGAAAGGAAAATCTCTTCAACAACTGGACATCCATATGCAGAAAAAAAATATATATATATATATATATATATATCGTTCCATAACTCATCATATACAAAAATTAACTCAAACTGGCAATTAGACCTAAATATAAGACCCAAATGTAAAAACTTAAACTATATAACATCCAGAAGAAAGCACAGAAGAAAATCTTACGACCTTTAATGGGGCAAAGATTTCTTAGATGTAATACCAAAAGCAAAATCTATAAGAGAACAAATGGATAAACTGGAGTCCATCAAAATTAACAATTACTGCTCTTCAAAAGACAATGTTAAAAAAAGATAAGCCACAAAGAAGCAGAAATATTGCAAAGCACATATCTAATAAAGGACTTGAATCCAGAGTATACAAAGAGAGGCACTGCAGAAAACAGCAGAGTAGAAAGCTCCAAAAAGGAACAGTGTCTGTCATATTATAAATACTCAATAGACATTTTACCAAGGATTTTTTAATCCTATATACAACTAACATGCAATGAGACAATTATCTGGGTACCTCCATCATCAACATAATTGCTGAAAATTTACAAATCATCATTCCATTATACTACACTAGAATAGGTATCATAGTTCTGAAATTACAGATGAGAAAGCTGAGATTCTAAATTAGTTGTTCAAGGCCACACACGCTGGATAATGCAGGGCAAAGATCACACTTGGGAAATCTAGCAATAATTAAAAAAAAAAAAAAACAGAAAAAAAACCCACTTCGCTTCAAGGTCACTGGGTAATACTGCCTCCCTCAGTGATATCTATTCCAAAGTAAACCTTCTCAAAGTGTCAGTACGAGAGCAGCTTTCTTAACACTTAAGCCACGCACATACACAACTCATCAAAATAGGGAAATAAAGTAAAAAAAGAAAATACCACTTTATGTTATTCATGGCTGTCTTCCTTATACTCTATATTATCATAGCCTTCTGAGATTTGAGAAAATCAAAACAATTCATAGGAAAAATAAAGAACTGGATTTAGGTACTTAAGAGATACAGCAATGTCATAGTAATTCACGTTAATATAAGGTGTAACAAATTACTTCAGAGTTCAATTAAAAAGTGAGTATAAAAACAAAAGGGGACAAGGCAAACATTAAAATTTTTTTTATTTAGGGCTTCCCTGGTGGCGCAGTGGATAAGAATCTGCCTGCCAATGCAGGGGACACAGGTTCGATCCCTGGTCCGGGAAGATCCCACATGCCGCCGAGCAACTAAACCCATGCACCACAAATACAGAGCCTACGCTCTAGAGCCTGCGAGCCACAACTACTGAAGCTCACGTGCCACAGCTACTGAAGCCCTCATGCCTAGACCCGGTGCTCCGCAACAAGAGAAGCCACAGCAATGAGAAGCCCGAGCAGCACAACGAAGAGTAGCCCCCGCTCACCACAACTAGAGAAAGCCTGTGCGCAGCAACGAAGACCCAACGCAGCCAAAAATAAAAAAATAAATAATTTTTTAAATATATATATTTTTTATTTAATAGTCACACATCAAAAGTTCTACAAGTTGTTCACATTCTGTAAGACTCAATGGAGGAAAGAGGAAAGCATGTAGACAGATCACTACCTCCCATGAAGTATGTATAAGAAGACAATTCTATACCACGCTGAAGACATTAATCTCTATCCTGTGTTTCTCAACTCTGGATGCACAACTGGGTCATTTGAGAGCTTTAAAAAAATCCTGATGTCTAGGCCTCATCCAAGACCAATTAAATTAGAATTTCTGGGAGTGAGACTCAGGCATAAGTATTTTTTAAAGCTCCCTTGGTGATTCCAATGAATAGCCAAGGCTGAAAACCACTACTGTAAGTGTGTGTGTGTGTGTGTGTGTGTGTGTGTGTGTGTGTGTGTATAAAAAATATATATGCATATATATGGAAATTGCCATATAACTGGTTAATGTCCCAAGAAAATTAATGAGTTGGGCCTAGGTTTAAATTTTTCATGCCAGAGATAATCACTTATTTCATTAAAATACAGTTTATATCTCACTTAAAACCACTGGTAGACATGCATAAATGCAAAGGACTTTGCCTTCCACAAAAAGGATCCAGACCTAGCCAATTAATATTAACAATAATTATTAATTAATATTACTTAGACTCATAAATACTATCTTTCATTCAAGAATATGCTAATTATTCTAGTACTCACTCTTTAGAAATGAGCAACAGGCTAAATGGTGTGGTCTATGACCAAAACACCCAAAGCAGTAGGTGTAGGTTGGCAAAGGGATCTCTAGATCTCCTTAAAACCCAAAGGAATCTGGGACTGTCTAGAAAGAAGAATGTGGACCACCACAAACCTGGTCCATTAGAAGGGGAATTTAATGACACAGAAGAAAGTTAAGGGAGGGGAGGGGAGAGAAAGCTGGAGGAATTACCTTGAAAAGGTGAGAAGGGTTGGGATTTAGTACAGAAATAGAGGGGTTGGCCTCTACAAGTCGTTCATCCGTAACTCAGAAGGGAAGGCAGAGTTGGGATTTGGGCTGGGATTTTGCTAAGCGTGTACTAACCAAGGGGGGAAGAGAGTTGAGGGTACATACAAAGCAAATGGAATTTAAGCTAGATAAAAATGTGAGGACTGAGGGAAGTAAGAAATAGTAAAACGGTGGTGGAATCAATGGATGTGTGGTGTGAAAGGACTATTGAAGTCAGACTACTAGAGGGAATGAAGTACATGTCAGAGATGAGTGAATGCTTGAGATTATAGTTATGGAGGCTCTTGCAGTTATTGGTAATGAAAAAATCAAGAATGTGATCACAGGAATGAGTGGCTGAAGGACAGTGGAAGACAACATAATTGGAGACATGCAAGAAACTGAAATGTCAGCATGTTGGAACAACCATCATTTAGACAATGATATCATCAAAAATTAAAACAGGATGAGTATTGTAGAGAGTAGAAGTAAGCCGTGAGAAATGTGACGGAATCACCCAGAGGTCAGCAAACGACTACTGTGATGTTACATTGGGGGTTAGTCTATTAACATGAAATTCAAACCTGGGGGTCTATCTCAAGGAAGAACACCTGGAATTGGCCATGAGAAGCAAAGAGGACACATACTACAGGAACCATGAACTGTAGAAGAATAAAACATTTCTTACCCTAAATAAGCTCAGTCTCATACAATAATAATGACCAACAAATACCATGGTACCACAGCACAGTAATGACGACAACTAAGAAAGTCGGAACCTGCTGGAGGCCCAGCGGAAGGAGCAGAGAAGTTTCACAAAGGTTTGAAAGACGTGAGATGTGTGTTCAAACCTGACAGATGTGAAAAAACATGGGACATGATAAGAAATGAAAACAGTTCAACATGATTAAGGGCAGAAAGAATGAGTATGAAATAGATATGATTAACGGGAATGGAAGAGGATCAGGGTATAAGACTAGACAGGTAGACCAAGGCCACTACCTTTTTCTCTGAACAAAAAATATTATGAACAAATTAAAGTGCTGCCCAGAAATCCTTCATAAAAGCCTCTAATATGGAACAAAATTGATGGATTTCAGCTTCATCTTATTTTCCTTACTTTGAAGGAGATGCTAGAAATAATAATCCTGTACTTTATGAAGATTAACCAACTTTTAGAGAATCAATTGCTTCAACACTGTATACAAAAATTTATAATCATTATCATAATCTCCAATATCCAAGATTAAAAATGTGCCAAGGAAATTTGCGCACAACTGAGTTTTTAAAAACAGATTAATAGAGCTCAAACATAAATGCATCAGTCATAGATTTTTTTGCAACATGTATACGTAAAAACATATATGTATGAGGCTATATAAAAATATAAATCAATTTTCCATTTAAAAGAATATTATAACTGAATACATAGATAACAACAAAACTGGTATATACAAATTTTATAAATGGTGAATCTTAGAATTAAAAATCATATTGGAAAAGACATCTCACTAAGTAACGTGGTTGTATTTTACTCTGTATCCATTTTTCTGTTAGCAGTTACTATGTAATGGAAAAAGCACAGTACTTGGGAGCCACAGAATACATGTTCAAGCGCTGGCACTGGCACTCATGAACTATAAAGCAAGTCACTTAACTTTTCCGTGCCTGAGTTTCTTAAAAGGAAATAAAAAATCCATGTCTCATGTGGTTTCATTAAGGTTTTTATGAAGTACTGTCTCTGAAAGAGCTCTGTAAACCATAATGAGCTATAAAATTGTTTAGTTACAGACGGCAAAATATTTTTAATAGAGAACTAAGAGCCTTTACGCCATCCACTACCCCCTCCCCCGCAAAAAGCACAATTAAAACCTGAGATGATAAATCTGATAGACTTTGATAAGCATGTCTCACCACCTCTCTTCAAAACCTTACCTTCGAATGAGCAGGCCCTCTTTCTTTCAGAAGTTTATACTGGGGTTGGACTCTATTGAAACGGGCTAACTCATTTACCAGACACATTGGAGTTTTCTCTTTGGGGTTTGCCATTTTATCTTGGAGAGAAGCTGTAAATAAAAAGGCTGTAAAGTTTTTGTGAAGAACGACTTTACAAAATGGAAGAAAAACTAGTTTTGAATTTTTTAGATTGAAATCAGATTGTATATTTGGATTAAATTATTTTCATGAATTTTATACAAAAATTTCAAATCACCTAAAGTCTTCCATTACATGCAACAGAAATATGTATCACATTTTAAACAATAAATTAAAGTAACTTTTTTTCCTAAGTACCTAAATTGCTCTCTATACATATATATGATAACAGCATGCTTAAAGATTTAAAACAATATAAGATATAATAATTTTTAATTGATCCTGTAACTTTCCTTTCCTCTCAAGAAATTTTAGCATAAACACATAATTCTTATTCTTATTGCTATGAAACTAAATTTTATCTGCTTTTTCATCATTTGATCTTTCTTTTTTTCCTTCTCATTCTGAAGGAACATATTAATTGAAAAAGCTCTAGACTTGGGAATCAAGTCCTAAGTTTAATTACTAGCTCTCCCAACTACTGTGTTTTAGTAACTTTTTCTTTTTTTAATGAAACTTTGAAAAGAAATAGAATAATTTAACAAATGACCATGCCCTCATCACCCAGAACTGAAATTAACACTATGTTTGCTTTGTCTTACTTTTAAAAAAAAACAAAAAAAAGAAAAAACAGTATTACATTCCAGTTAAGTTCCCTTTATCTTCTCCAGAAACTACCACTATGTGAATTTAAAATATATCCCTCCAGGATATTCTAAAATACATTTGTATGAATGCATGCATATCCACGAAAAAACACACAGTATTGATGTATGTAGTTTTAGAGTTCACATCAATAGTAATATAATAAATATATCATTTTCACAATTTTCTTCACTCTTCATTATGTTTTAGAGAGTTAACTTACATAGATCCAGAGCATTACTTTTAACTGTATAATTTCCATCACATTATTTTATCATAAATTTTTTAATCTTCTCCCTACTGATAGTAGACATTTAGGTTGTTTCCAGTTCTTCACTCTTACAAATTAAAACACGCTAGCAAACAGCACTCAGAAGGAATGTACCAAATTACCTTCCCCTGGCAGCGTGAGAATTACTATTTCCCTTCAACCTTGAAAACATGCAGTATAGTCAGATACTTGAATCTCTGACAATCTGATGTTTGACAAAACTTTGTTTTTGATCATTTGGGTTTCCTCTTCTGGGAACTGCTTCTGTCCTTTTTTCTATTGATTATTTTATGCATAATATCAATCTTTTATGGTCTGGGCCTTTTCTGCCTCAAGAAATCCTTCCCTAACCTGAAATGTCTTAATAATTTTTACTTAAATTTACTAAGCCTACTATTCTTTATCTATAAAATAAAGGTAATAATCTAACCTACTTAACTAACTCACAGATTGCTATAAGGTTAAGGCTTTTAAATGCATGGTACTTTAAATTCTACCACAATTATTATTACAGCTTCAGAATATTTTCCTAACACTACAGTATTTTATCCTATATTTTTCCTTCATTTCATTTACAGACATATTTAACTGCTTTTTAGTTTTTCTTTCATTTCCCATTAATCAATGTTAAAAAACACTTTAAAACCCAAGCATAAAACATGCAAATGGATTACTTCCTGCTCAATTAAACTGTAGTCACAATATATAGGGAATACATTAAATAAATGGAAATAGCTGATTTTAGGAACTTCATCTATAAATTTTCTATGGCAAGTTTTAATGTAGAAAATAGTATTCTTTTTAATACTTTTAATTAACTTTTTAATACCCTCTACAGGACTAATAATTTGGTACAATAACTTGATCACAATCATTATGATTAAGAAATTATTTTATAACAATACTACACAAATACCTAATAAGGCATAAGTTTAAAAAAAAAAAAATCTAGGCAGTCAACTGTAGGACCAATACAGCTGACAGCTAACTCTACAATTAAACCATTCTAAGTGGCTTACAAACCAAAAATAAATAAATAAATAAACCTAGTAATTATTACTTTTTGGAACAGCACAAAAAAGGCAGAGAATATTAGTCAAGAGAGGTTGAAGAAATCTGCATTTTACTTATTCCATAAACATTTTATAAACTGTACCAGAAAGTCAGCCATTACATAAAATACAAGGTGACCTGGTACTATAATCAATTTTGGTCCTTGCATACCATGGCATTAAATACTCAAGTACAGTAGACAACACAGCTACCTGAATATCAAAAAGCAAAAGAAGAATGAAAATGAGAAAATACTGAAGGCTGGTAAAAATGAGTCAATTTTGCATAACACTAAAATAGCATTTATACTGCTACTATAACAATTTTCATAACTTAGTAATGCTGCATATTCATCTATTATGATGGAAAAAATATTAGGAGCATAGCAAGAACAATGTGACATAAAATATAACAATTTTATATTTTACAGTATAAAAATTAATAGCCTAGGATTTAAATATGTTTAAATGTCATTAAAATGATAAGTTTATAGCTCTGTAAACTTGGTAAGAAAATCTGATCTAAATTCTTTAAAGGAAAGTGCTAATAACATGGTATTAAACTTATATTCCATTAATTCTAACTTTCCGCTTCATAAAAATAACATGAATCCAATAATGGACTCATGGAATCCATTAACGAAATCCCACAATGGATTTAATGTGTGATTTAAGTTTTGGTGTGAAAGGTGTGCAAAATACATGTAAGATCTCACTTTGATAAAACTTTACAACTAATACCCAAACATTTCAAGTTGGTAAATTTAAAAATAATTAGTTCTAGTTTTATTTTACAAAATGATTAAAATTTTATTTTCCATAGTTGTTCCTCTATTCAATCTGAAATCGTATTAACTACTTGACAGAGATCAATGGTAGAGCAGTAATATCAAAATTAAACCAAAATTTTAACAGAATATCTACAAAATGACAAAACAAATTGGTCTATAAAAATTGGGATCTATAGGGCTTCCCTGGTGGCGCAGTGGTTAAGAGTCCGCCTGCTGATGCAGGGGACACGCGTTCGTGCCCCGGTCTGGGAAGATCCCACGTGCCGCGGAGCGGCTATGCCCGTGAGCCATGGCCGCTGAGCCTGTGCGTCCGGAGCCTTTGCTCCGCAACGGGAGAGGCCACAACAGTGAGAGGCCCGCGTACCGCCAAAAAAAAAAAAAAAAAAAATTGGGATCTATCAACTTAATTTATATATTACTTTTTAGAAAAGTCAACAAGTACAAAAAGTGAGAAATATGTACACTGTTGCATAAGTATACATTTTCAAGAGACTTAAGAATGTCCTCAATGAAGCTATTTTGAAACAGGCTTCAAGTCAATTCGGTGGCTGAGATACCTACTTAGAAGTAAATAAAATTAATGATAATGAATTTCACAATTCTAAAACTTTGCTTTTGAGAGAACAAATGCCATCTATTTAAGAACCTGTTTGGGATATCTCTGCCACTGATTGATATCTATGTAACCTTGAGAAAGTACTTAAATCTCACTTTCCTGGACAGTAAAATAGAAATAATAGTTGTTTTTATATTAGTGGATTATGGTATTGGTTGAATGAAATGATGTAAGATACTATTAACAATAAGAATGCATTATTATTCTGCTTATAAGTAATCTGTTAAAGCACACTATATCAAATATGCATACAGAGATATGATTTTATAAACTTTTTTCATGGCTTCCTAAGCTAAAATATTCTGAGTTAAAATGTTCATTAGGATAAGTTGATTTTATTCATACAAATATACTTCTTTAATATTCTATAAAAAGCATGTATTTGTTATTATTTTTTCGACTTACTACAACATATTAAGTTTGTTTCCACTGAAAAATCCCCAAGTGTGATATAAATTACATTTAAGATTTCTCATATTTTTGTTAGGGAATATTCTACCTTTATTGATATAAAATTTGTTTACATGTAACTCTCCATAACTTTGATACATAACACTGGTAAAATAGCTTTTCATAATAACAGGATCTGCACACTCAGCAAAACAGAGACATAAATCTTTTGAGATAGATTGTTTTTATATCTTTATAAAATGTCCTGGACTCTGTGGGACTTGAATCTTCAAAATGAACCAAGATAATACAGTTCACAGTTTTCAATTAACAGGCAAAATCCCTGTTCCAAAGGAGCTCAGAGTCTGGTAGAAAAACACACATACAAGAAACAAATACACTAAACTACAACATGAAAAGTTCTATAACAAGGCTGTTAGAAGGGACTCCTTAGGTGAACGGGGTGTTGAAAGGTAGGTTTCAAGAGGTGCTGATTAGATTAGTTAAGGAAAGTAGGCATTCACCAAGTTAGCAAGGAAAAAAGAGAGAAAGACAGTGCAGGCTTTTCCATAGCACACATGCAGGAGAAAGCACAATAAACACATCACATTCTGGCAAATTCAAGTAGATCATTAGCAGACTATAAATGCAGAATAGGATATAGCAGAAAAAACTGTGTGACCAGAATCCACCAAAACACCAAGTTTCCTAAGCCAGAACTTAGAGTAGCAACATTTTTAAGGTAGTTAAATCACGGCCAGAGCTGTTGCTAGAAAATCATAGTCTACCTCACCTGCCGAGCCAAGTCTCTCCACAGAAGAATCCGTTTCCATCCCTGGTCCCAGAAAATGACTTGGACACAGTTTCTATGTCTCTTTGCTGGCTCCCCTTTCCCTA